AGGAAGGAAGGAAGGAAGGAAGAAAGAAAGAAAGAACTATCATTCGCGAAGCATCCTGGGACGAGCCACTCCTCCAGCCGACCCACAATGCCCCGCGCACCATTGCACGTTGGAAGAAACTTTCAAGATGTCGTCTGCTCCAAGCTCAGCTGATCTCCTTCACGTTGGAGGCGAAAGAACCTCAGGACAGGTCATAAGAAACCAAAATGGTAAGTTAACATAAAGTTTAATACCCATTCTAAACATTAAGCTTATTTTTTTGTCCATTTTCATTTCAGTTACGGCCGTCACAGCCATCGCAAATATTGTCAAAAGTTCTCTGGGACCAGTCGGTCTGGACAAAATGCTAGTCGATGATATTGGGGTAGGTTTTCTCTCTGTTTAATTACGTTACCAGGGTTATTTAGTAGTTATTTTACATGGTCAGGAATTTAGCTTTTAGATCTAACAGTGAGATCGTTGATAGAAACCTTTACAAAGGCGAACAGTGTAAATGCCGGTACATGAACTGTATGAACTGTCATTTTGCACGTGTTTGATTGGTGTGGCTCACTTTACACGAAGTTCTCGTCTGTACCACGGCTTCTTTATGCTAAATTTGTAAATAAATGAATGACTAGAAGTCTTAAATCCGTTCAGAGAAGCCTTTTTGTGGGAATTTCTATTGATTATATAAATGTACTTGTGGTACAAATTAGATAGGAGGTCAATTGTTAATGAAGTTAAAAAACGTACAAACCTAACCACGTACCTCCACCCCCTGGTAAATGTTAATATGCTATATATGTAAAGTATATCGTAATCTTAAGTATATTCTTAATTATCATAGTATGAAATTATAAAATCAATAAGCAAACTATTGACAAAACAGTTTATATCTAAGTTTGCTTTTTTATGACATTTGGTTATACAAATTTTATATCTTTTAACACCAGGGCCAGGTTTTACGAAGGCTGGATAGCACTATCTGATGGACAAATCTTTCCTAGTGGATAAATAATTGGATAACAGCATTGACTTATCCATTGGATAATGATTTATCCCTCACATAGTGCTATTAACCCTTCATTCAACCCGGCCCTGCAATGCAAGCATAAACATAACTACAAGGTTGTATTTATTATGATAGGCTGCACATATCAAATTATAAAAGTCCTGGTTATAAGCCCTTAGCTTGTATTTATTTGCAAGGGTTTTTTGATGGACTCATAAGGCAGGGCCTCATAACCAAAAGAGAAAAGACTTTTGAATGAAGAGGGAACCTTTAGTACCTTTTTTTATGTGTTATAAACACTATAATAATTATGAAATATCATGGGGTGAGTAAATTGGGGTGGAGTAAATTGTCTTAGCAAAGTGGAGTTATATTTCAACTGGGATGTGGTATTTATTTTTTTCCCTTTCTGTAAAGGATGTTACTATCACCAATGATGGTGCCACAATCTTAAAACTCCTTGAAGTAGAACACCCTGCGGCAAAGATCTTGTGTGAGCTAGCCGACTTACAAGACCAGGAAGTTGGTGATGGTACTACATCCGTTGTTATTTTAGCAGCAGAGTTACTCAAGGGAGCTAACGAGCTGGTTGCACAGAAGATTCATCCTACATCAATTATTAGTGGTTATAGGCTGGCTTGCAAGTAAGTCTATAAATAATGTTTTCCATTCAATACTGTGACCACTACACATTGGGTTCAACCTGGGTTCGATTCTTGGACTCATATGTGAGTAGAGTTGTTTGTTGGTTCTCTCCTGTGCTTTTCTCCAGGTTATCTGGTTGTCCTCCCTCTGCTAAATTCATCTTCTAAATTCTAATTTAATCTAGAAGGACCTAGATGAAAATTACTCTGTGTAAATCTAGTTACCCTATCAAATTGTGTAGTTTTTAATGGTTTGGTGCAATTACTACATACCTTGTCATATAAAAACCACTGTATGTTTGATCACTCATGATGTAAATGTTTTTTTATCTTAGGGAAGCATGTAAATATATCCAAGAACACTTAACCCTTAATGTAGATGACCTAGGCAGGGACTGCATCGTTAATGCCGCTAAAACATCACTGTCTTCTAAGCTAATCAACCAGCAATCAGATTTCTTTGCTAATATGATTGTTGACGCTGTGACGGCAGTCAAGAGATCAGGAAACAAGGGTGAAGCCAAGTATCCTATTAAAGGCATCAATGTACTCAAGGCGCATGGTGCAAGTGCACAGGAAAGTGTTCTAATTGATGGATATGCTCTGAACTGTACTATTGCTTCACAAGGTAAAGCACACATTTTGTCTTTGTTCTGTGGTCCACCTCTTTGAAATCATCATCTTCACTACCTACAGTTCAACCTCATCATTGCTGCCTATCGCTTAACCATCCTTATGTGTGATGTACATGGTGATATATATGATTATTTATGATGTTACGCATTGCGATCATACATATAGTTATACACAGTCGTACTGCTAGGCTTTACCATTTTACTGGAATGATATAACAATGTGCCACCATGCATGTAGCATGTTTTTACTAGTAAATCCGAGTAGTAATTAAGAACGTTTTAACATGTTTTGTGTTATGTTTTTCCTGTGATGCAGCAATGCCAAAACACATCCAAAATGCAAAGATTGCCTGTCTTGACTTTACTCTTCAAAAAGCCAAGATGCATTTGGGAGTCAGTGTGGTGGTTGATGACCCTGAGAAACTTGACGCAATAAGAGAAAGGTAAACTTGGGACCTATTTGGTTAATACAGCGACACATCCCCGGCTTTTCCTAGGGAAAGGTTGTTTCCAAGACAGCTCCAATATTCAGGTGTGGTGAGAGGGAGGAGTGGCTAATCAAAAAATTGAAAATTTTTGTTCATATTAACTGAAAATGTTATCCAGATAAACTTTTATTGGGTTTAATTGTAGCTCTCAATTTTGGTTTCTTCCAATTTGGGACATTGTTTTGGTCATTTTCCAACTTGTTATGGGTTTACTGTGGCTTTGGCATGACGTACCCTGTAACAATCCTGGATCTGCCACTGCAATATGTAATAACTTTAACAACGTTTTGAAGTTTTACGCTTTACTGTATTATTAGCAAAATACCAAAAAAGTACCCAATCAATCCCCACCTCACCCCCAGGATCTGCCAATGTACCCAGTTTCAGTATTCAAAACTTTTTCATCTCGCATCTTAGGGAGTCCACCATTACCAAAGAGAGAGTGCAGAAGATATTGTCATCAGGAGCCAATGTTGTTCTGGTATCAGGTGGTATTGATGATCTGTGCCTCAAGTACTTTGTTGAAAATGGTGCCATGGGAGTCAGACGAGTCAAGAAGGCAGACCTAAAAAGAATAGCAAGGGCTACTGGAGGTACAGTACTTATAGTGTATTGTACATGTACAACCATTCAACAACCAAAACAAAAAACTTATATGTTACAACCATGACTTCTCATAAGGGGGCTCTTCAGTGAGGTTTGCTCCACATTCACTACCACTACATTTATTCTTTACAACAGTCATGTGACGCTCAACTCACATGTTGATTTTTTACGGAGGGAGGAAAACCATACAATTTGGGAAAAACCCTCATGGGAAGGTAGAGAAAAACATCAAACAAACTCAGTTGGAACTTGAACCTTAGCAGCACATGCTGTGCATGAAAAAATTGTTTCCAACCAGTCATCTAAATAGAATTTTTTTATTTACAAATAACATATGTTTGAGCGTTTATGTACATAGTTTTTTTAATATCAATACAGTACCTTGTAAAGCGGTGTTGAACATTGGAATTGTTACTATATAGAATAAAATAATGACTAGGGATAACCTCAGGTTAGGAAGTGCGGGCGTAGAACATTGGTGGAAGATTTTCTTAATTTGTTTGAGAGGCTTGAGTAGCTATTAATATATGGAGAGGCAGATGCAAGTGAGTATTTAGTGATTTGGTTAGCCTGCTAAGGAAGGTTATCCCTGCGGATCGAATTCCCTCATGTATGCCTGAAAACCTGTTTGAGCACTGGCCTAATCCTGTAAGTCTGCATTCCTCACATTCTTTACATTCCAGTTGGAAGTCGAAAACTCTGAAAAGCTGTCTAGTCTCTTGTATTCCACAGGCCCAGGCACCTTGGCGTTTTCTCGTCAAGATTATGCTTGCATGCTCCTCTTGTGGCCCGCAATTATTATTATTATCTTATTAAACTATCTTTTATACCTTCTTCAGCAACAATGGTACTGTCACTGGCTAACCTTGAGGGAGAGGAGAGCTTTGATGCAAGTATGTTAGGAATGGCAGATGAAGTACGACAAGAAAGAATTAGTGATGACGAACTGATCATTATTAAGGGGTAAGGACCCTGTGTCAAATGCAGAACATTTATATTAACTGCACTCACGTTGAGGTCTGAAGGTAACTCTTTCAAAATTTCTTGATTATTTCAATGCAATTCAGTTGACTTGCTCAGTTGGTAGGAGTGGCTGGACCAACACTTAGGATCTAAAAATAACTAAGGAGAAGGTGCTGCCTTTGTATGTAAAATTACATCTGCAAATGGTTAAACTTTCACATGGATCTGATGACCATCTTGATGGTATCCCATCCCTAATCAACCAGAGTTAATCAGTTGAATTACTGTCAATTGTTATCCTCTATAAACAAAGTTGAGTTATTCTGTTTTTTTTTTATAAGACTAAAAGTTGTGGGCAGGTTTAGCCCTAAGAGCTGAAAACTTATATTATATTACAATCTCCCTCTCCATGCACAGACCATGTTAAAATCCCTATCTGTATTGATCCACAGGACTAAAGCCAGGTCTTCAGCCTCCATAATCCTGAGAGGTGCAAACGATTACATGCTGGATGAAATGGAGCGTTCTCTTCATGATGCTATATGTGTTGTTAAACGTGTCTTGGAATCTAAGACTCTTGTTCCTGGTGGAGGTGCTGTAGAAGCTGCTTTGTCGATTTATCTGGAAAATTTTGCTACGTCATTGGTAAGTTGTATAATCAAACCAATAATAGAGCATTTTCGCTTGCATGACAAGGCAGCTATATTGGTGTACCAAACAAGCATACAATTTCCAACATGGCCACTGTGACATCACATGGAAATCCTCTATAAGTACCTATTAGGATTCATAGGTACTGTAACATAGGATCTTCGTTAGAGCAGACTAATCTTTTGAAGGCAGTTGTGAATGTAGCCACGCTTTCTCCAGACCATCACATTGCTCAAGAATTTACACTCCATTCAATCAGACACTCAAAACATGGCATGAACATGATGCAGACACGGCTATGCCAAGGTTACGGCACTGCCACACCCTGATCATATTGTGTGAGAAAAAATAAATTTGCCAATTAAAACTCTAGAAAAAATTACTGTTGTGGCCAGGCAAGGCATATGCATATGGCACTGAGCTTTTCACAGCTATGTGAAAACTGCTCTATAGCTTACTTAAATGTTTTCAAGAACAGGATTCTGACTAGTAGTGGTATCGAACGTAAGGGGGGAGAGATGGGTTGGTAGGTGGTATGAGTCCCAGATGATGAATGTCATGGATCTTATTCATCTGATTATCTTGATGAGATTACTCCATGCTGCCTTCCTACTGATGGGATATTATACTCCGCATACAGTATATGTATTTGCATGTAGTAAAACTAGAGAAACTCTTAGAATATTTTGTTGTATTAATTTCTTCATTTCTTTATTCTTTTTTATATTATATATTAACACTCAGTATAGATGTATTTACATGTAGTAAAACTACAGAAACTCTTATAATACTTTGTTGTATATTCCTTCATTTATTTACTCTTTTTTTTTTTCTTTCCTTGTTTATAATCTTAGGGTTCTAGGGAGCAGTTGGCCATAGCTGAGTTTGCACACTCACTTCTAGTAATTCCCAAAATCCTAGCTGTCAATGCTGCACAGGATTCTGCTGATTTGGTAGCAAAACTAAGAGCATTCCACAATACTTCTCAAATCAATGCTGAAAGATCACATCTTAAATGGTAAGCTAATACTATCTATCAAAAATAGATTTAATTTAAAAACGAATTTGACTGCCATTTTCTCAGAATGGTAACGGTATGAGCAGTTGTGAGTTGTTTTCAACCATTCCCAAGAGAATTGAATAACAAAAGACATGGCAGCCATGTTGGAGGATATAACAAAAGAATTCATTGACAATTCTTTTGTTAAGTTCCTCCATCATGGTCGCTGTGAAAACCAATAATTTGTCACAGTAATCATAATCCCACAACCCTATAAGCTGTTGAAACTTCGAATTTAAACAGACAATGATTATACTAAATTTGCCATTCCAGGATCGGACTTGATTTAGTAGATGGCACCGTAAGAGACAACAAGAAAGCTGGCGTTCTTGAACCTGCAATATGTAAAATAAAATGTTTAAAGTTTGCAACTGAAGCAGCGATTACTATACTCCGTATCGACGACATGATCAAACTAGCACCTGAAAAGAAAGAAGAAGGAGGCTATCAGCAAGCATACCAATCTGGACAACTTGGTTAATGATAAAAACTGATATATTGTAGACCTTTTCTGGTATAGCCAACATGGTCCATTAGGGTCTACCTTGGGTATAAATTTCTTGTTCAGCACACTTCGTATGGTGTTGTTTATAGTCCCCTTGCAGCACTTTGCAATGCAGCTCAATCTGGGGGACAAAACAATAGGTTATAATTCTCAGGAGATTGGAATTCCTTGGTTTRTCCCCCAGATCGAGCTGCTTTCACATTACATGCAAGGCATCTACACCCAAGCTAGATCACAATGCATTAGGTTTATAAACTCAAAAAGGGTCTATATTTTTGTAGTACAAGTATGAACAATTACTTCACAGGACAGTTAACTGAGGCTCAATTTCAAACTATTGTGTAAAGACATTGCAGCTACTCTTGTCATTTTTCTTGATCAAGGCACCTCTAGATATGGCATGTTTTGACATCTGTCAATCAAGCTAACAGTGGTTTAAGTAAATTAATTTTGATTGACGATAAATAATTCATCTAAAAATCCAGGCATTTACAAGTTGTCATGGTTAATGCAAACATTTCAACATACTCTAATGGTTGTTATGGGAACATGGTAATTTGTAGGTGCTGGTAGGTGCAGATTAGTGCTAATTATGTACAGGTTGCACTCTATTTAAAATATCAATTTCTAAAAAGGTGTACTTTATAGTGTTCAAATCCTCATCAATGGTTTTATGTCCGTAGTGTTTCTGTAGTGCTAATACACAGTTAGAAAAAGAAAGAGCTATAGTGGAGCCATGGTGTTTTACATTTTGTCATTCAAAAATCCAGTTGACTAGTGATAGTTCTTGTTCATTTTGTACTTCTATCAAATTACTTTGCAGTGTGTTTAAGGAGTGTTGACATCAAATAAACAAACCAAAAGGAAAAAAAATCTGGTTCTTTTCATTATTTGTTATAAACACATATATTACAATTTTGTGAATGACCAATATTTCTCTCCAAGGGGGAGGGGGGTGCCGGTCACCCCCACCACTTTGACAAAGGGAGTATCCAACCTGGAAAATTTCCCAATAGACCTTTCCTGAATTCTCTTGGATGACCACAAAACAATGGTTTGAAGTCGAGACTGAACTTGAATCTTTTATTCATCAAGTTCAACCTCGACTTCAAACCATTGTTTGGTGATCAGTCAAGCGAATTCAGGAAAGGTCTATTAAGCATATTCAAAGGTTATTTTTCAGAAATTGAGAAACCCACAAATCAACCACTACATATCAATAGGCCACTTTTGCTTGTCATGCACAAAGGTTTCAGTACGAGGCTATGTGCAAAATCAAATCATTCTTTCCCCTTTTACGAATCACTGAGCATTATGCATGAAACCCCACATTAAAACCTTTGTGCGTAACAAGCAAACCATATCTCGGAAGTGGGCTATCGGATTTGTTAGTTCTCACTTGGTGCCAGCAGGTAGCCTCCTAACAGGAACCTGAAGTGCCTCATAGAGGCTGTGCAGGAGGCTAGGTGTCAGGGGGATTTTCTCATGGCTTCAGTTATATATATGGAAAAAACCACTGCCACACACCAGGGTATGTTCCTTCTTTTCAAAATGATTTTACTCATTTTCCTTCAAAAACCAAAATTTAAGAGTATTTTTTGTTATTGTTTTGTTTTGTTTTAGTTTTACTGTTGATTAGTCACTAATTATACAACTTCGTTTCACAAGCCAAATAAAATCGCTTGAGTAAATAGGAAATTTTCTGAAAATCCACAATCATGTTACATAGTTATATGGAGTTCCTGTGGCAATCTATTCAGATGAGAGAGTGGGCCGAGCATATTGCCAGCACGTACACAAATTAAAACGAACGACCTTCAATGTTCTTCAATGGAAAACATTTCTATCGCATTTTAGTCTGACGTTATTGCAGATTTACCATCTTAAACTACGTAGGTTTTTAACATGGCTTGGTCTGCTCCTTCAGAGTGGGACCGATGGGATCCTGATAGACTGATAGTTTGTCCTTATGACCCAATACACAAGGTTCCCGCGAAGAGGTATCAGTACCATGTGATCAAGTGTAGAAAGGTAAACATGTTGAAAACAAGGCCAAATCCGTTGAATTTCTTCATTTTTTAAATGATATCTAAGAGAGCAATTCAAGTTTTGTTGTCTTTCTTGTATATAACGCTGTGTTTGTTATGTCATTTAACGTTTTAACCCGAGGAAAATATTCTGAAAGTGGATGTACTGTACATTATAGTGAGATACATGTATATGTGTATGCCTTCCAACTTCTTATCCATCCCTACCTTTTTATCTGTGTATAAAGTCGTTATCTAGGTGGAGAGAAGGTCAAATTCCCTACTTTGGGGTCGTGGAATATTGTCAATTTTCCACAAATTCTTGTGATGCCAGTGAAGATCGTGGCAGTGATTCACTCATTCAAAACAGTGAAACAATATGACAAGCAAAAGATTCCTCTCCCTCGCCCTCTCAGAATGAAAGTTTTACTTACAGTGTACAGTGTACTTGAGCACAAGAGGTTATTGAAGAAATAGAAAACATGCGCTTGTGCTGTGTGCAGTGGGAATTTGGCAGAACACCAGAGAAGTGTTAGGAGAAGCACGACACGTAGGGGAGTGCTTCTCAACGCTTCTCGGGTGTTCTGCCAATCCGCAAGTGCTTTATAACTCCATACAGCACAGCTAGCAAGTTTTTTATTATTTTTATAAGATACAAATTACAATAACCGTTGTTTTAGATAGGAATGACACAACTTAAAGTGTGCGCACGTGCTGTGTGCTCTCACGCGAGATTTATGACAGTTATTTTATAATGGCACTTAAATAGACAATACTCCATTTTAAAGTTCCATTCAGTGACCACAAATAATAGTTTCTTACCAAGGCTGGAGTTGTGATTCCGCACATAGCAAAACCACAGTTTATCATGTGCAGTAACTCCAACCTCAGCTAGGAACTATTATTTGTGGTCACTGATTGTAACTGTAAAATGGAGTATTTACTTTATTTCACTTCATTTGATATAGAATTATCCCGAGAAAGACTTTGTTTCATGCCCATTCAATGCTAAACACATAATGTTGAGACCTGAACTTAGACGACACATCACAAGATGTCCAGATAGGGTGAGTTACAGCGAGTTTACAGTAATGAAAGGACAGGATGTACATTCATAAACATCTCTTACTCAGACGAACAGTTTTGCAGGCAATCGATGTTGCAAGCCATGTCACAATTTGTTTTGTGCAATGTTATATCAGAATTAGAAAACAATCCTACTTCAGCAACATTGCTCAATGTTGGACCATGCCTACCCTCCCTGAAACTTCCAAATGCAAATTCTACGTACACCTTAATGCACCCTGGTGCAAATCCTGCTCAGGATCCTGGTAGGATCCTACTAGGATCCTACCAGGATCCTGAGCAGGATCTTGTACAGGATCCTGTGCAAGATCCTGTTTCAAGATCCTATAGGATCTTGAATAGGATCCTATAGGATCCTGATAGGATCCTATAGGATCTTATAGGATCCTATAGGATCTTAACAGGATCCTATAGGATCCTATTCAAGATCCTATAGGATATTGAAACAGGATCTTGCACAGGATCCTGTACAAGATGCTATAGGATCCTGTTTAATATATTGTAGGATCTTGTACAAGATCCTACAGGATCCTGTTCAAGATCCTACAGGATCCAGTTCAAGATCCTACAGGATCCTATAACATCCTACTTAATATCCTACAGGATACTGTTCAAGATCCTACAGGATCCTATAACATCCTACAGGATCCTATAGCATTCTATTCAAGATCCTATTCAAGATCCTATTCAAGATCCTATTCAAGATCCTATTCAAGATCCTATAGGATCCTATTTAGGATCCTATTCAAGATCCTATTCAAGATCATGTAGGATCCTAATTGAGGTTTTGATAGGATCCTGTACAGGATTTTGTTATTTTCTTGAGGGTATAGTTTTCAAAATAAGACTATGGTGGCCATCTTGGATTGCAAGGCATTATGGGGCATCCATGGGCAATTAATCATATTGTATAGTTCCAAAAATTATCCATACCCCCTCACGGAGGAATTTTTTTAAGACACCCCCTACCCCCCAGAAATTCCAATTCTTTTCCATACAAACTCTGTAATTTTTGTTCTTTCTCTGACATCCCTATTCTTCGGAAATTCCAAATTCCTCTGTGGGGTGGGTATGGATGATTTCTGGAACTACACATTACCCATATTCTTTATCATGGTCTTAGATTTGTAGCTTTTTAGGTGACTACACTAATTTTATAGAAATAAGTATATAAATATTTCATAATCTTTGTTTTTTCAGGGTGAAGTTGAACCATATTCATTTAAAGGTACAGTATTTTGAAACTAAATTCTGTAGCCTGGCTGCAATGTTTTCCCATTACAAGTTGCCCATTATGGAACATAACATGTCATTCCTTTGAGAATAAGAAGAATAAGAGTTGTATCCATATTCATGTGTCTTCTCATGCATGATCATACTCTTGGGAATGACGTCTGAAATAAAAAAGGTCTGTTGTGCCTTATTACAGATGCCATTAACTTTTCACTTATCACCAAACTCTAGTACATTATCTGTCAATGACACTTTTTTTGACCCATTTTATGATCATTATGAGCATGGGAAGCACAAAATTCCTTGTTGTTCACTAAATAATTTGAGCCTAACCAAACTAGGTGTCATATAGGAGTTGTTTGCTGGTTCTCTGCTGAGGGCTTTTCTTCGGGTTCTCCTGTTTTCCTCCTTCAAAAAAAATCAATTTCCAAATCCAATTTTGATTAGGAATTTGGGACCAAATTGGAAACAGGCCTCTGTGCTTTACCTGTTATGTCAGGGGTGGATCCAGGAAGTTTAGAAGGGGGGTGACTATTACAAAGGTTTTACCAGGAATTTGAGGAAAAGGGGGGTGACTGTTACTAACGATATACTGATAAATTTGTGCAAAAGGGGGGTGACTAGTCACCTATATTACCACACCTGGATCCGCCCCTGTATGTGTACATGTATACCCTAGTAAAACAAGGAATGTTTTACCTTTGTTTCAGATAATGAACAGGACAGTGAAGGGTTTTATTTCAAAGGTGATACCTCAGTGCCGTGTTATAAAAAAGAACCTGTATCAAGAACACTAGATGAGGACTGGGATAGAGGTGAGATGTTTATTTCAAAGTGACGTTACTGCGATTTTCGATTTGCGGACTTGAACATTTCAACTGTTAGTATAGGAAATTGGTTTTTCACTGCCGCCAGTCAAAAATATAAAAAGTTACGACTGGTTATTTTTAATTGACGGCATTGAAAAAGTAAATTTCAGTATGCAGCTCACAACTACCAAGTTTGCAGAATTTACATACATGTACTGTACATGTAAAGTGTATGTGAGAAGGGTTGCTTGTCTCTGCAGATGATGAAGACACAACTTCTCTACAAAATCTGTCTGAATATTATGCAAACAGTGCATCTTTACCAGGAGGAAGTAGACAACTAGTAGAAGATATATCAAGGTTAGGAGTGACTCTAATTTTCTTTCCTTCTGCTTTCTACATGTATGGCTCTATAGTTTTCAGGGTTCGTGCTACTGTACTCCTTAAACTCCTTGAAAACTCCTTGAATTTAATTCACGTTTTCAAGGGCACTTGAAAAGCTCTTGAATTTTATGATTTTAGCGAAACTCCTTGAAAACTCCTTGAATTTTGCTTTGGTCATTACTTGCATGGTTCTGAAATAGATCTAAGTCAGAAAGATCGGAAAGTCTGAAAGTCAGCCATGTGCAACCAGTGTGTAAAACCTTGGCATAGTTAGCTGAACATACTCCTTGAAAATTCATTTTTGGGTCCTTGTATACTCCTTCAATAGTCCTTGAATTTTAACTGGTTACCTCAGCACGAACCCTGAGTTTTAATAATTAGTTTGTGGTTATGATATCAATTTTGTTGGTGTATAACTAGATTGTGTTTGTTTGTTTTTGTTTTTTCATTCATTATTGTTGACTTTTCTTTTTATTGCATGTTGCATGTTGCATGCTGCTTACAAAGCTTGAGATGCATTTTATTCACATGTAAATAACATCAGCACAGAAGAAATTTCTAAAATCTAAAATCTACAAAACTTTTCGCTGTTGTATCACAGCGTGGGACAATCACAACAGAGCTAGGCTCCAAACTAAGTGAAAGCCCAAAGATCGAATTAGAATTTAGAAGTTGATCTTCGAGGAGGGAGGAAAACCGGAGAACCTGGAGAAAAACCCTTGAAGCACAGGAGAGAACCAACAAACAACTCTACTCACATATGACATTGAGATCGGCAGGAATCAAACTCGGGCCGCATTGGTGAGAGGTAGTGCATTAGCAGTGCACACCACTAGTGCTTCCCAAAACATGCCAGAAAAGCATGCAGACAAAGTTTGGGAAATTTCATATCAATGTGCCCTTTTGCTTATTGGATTCATATCGTCCATAGTGCAGTTAATGCTTGTTATGCAACAAAAATTATGCAACAAAACCTTCACTAACTTTCGTTGAAATTGCTATATATAGTTCATTGCTTTTTTGTTTGTTATTTACCTCCTTTCATTATTTGTTTGTTTATTTTTGAATTCTTGATTTCATTATTCGATTCAATCATTCATTATTGAAAACGAATCTTCAAAGCCTAGCACATACAAAGGCCAAGCATACACTTATTTCAATAAAGTTAGTCACCTGAAAAGCTATAAGGCTGAGGCCAACAAGGATTATGGATTATGCTTTTTTGATATGAAAAGTTTCCCATGATGCTCAGTGATCTCAGCTTTCTAGGTGACTAACTTTATTGAAATAAGTGTATATACTTATTTCAATAAAGTTAGTCACCAAAAACCTAGAAAGATGAGATCACTGAGCATCATGGGAAACTTTTCATATCAAAAAAGCATATATATACAAAGCTTTTTTAACACAACCTGCAGCTCGATGATGCTCAGAAGAGGTGAGACTGTAACCGGTAAAAGATTCGCAAGTCCATGAACAGTTATCAAGCGGTTGAACGTGTAAAATGAATCTACCCATAATCCTTGTCGGCCTCAGCTTTATAGCTTTTCAGGTGACTAACTTTATTGAAATAAGTGTATGCATCTAAAATGCAAGATCAACTTTTTGTGTAAGGATTATGTAATATTAATGACTTACCTTCTGTTTCCGCTATAAACAAGAGTCACGAGCCAAGTTCATTGAATTTTCAAATTTTTATTATTTTTTGAATATTGAAGATTCGTTTTCAATAATGAATGTTCGAATCGAATAATGAAATCAAGAATCCAAAAACAAAGTCATTAATGACCTCTACGTGTTCACGCTTGAGGTGATTTGACTGTAAATGAATGTGAGTAATTTATAATGATAAAAGACATCAAGTAACAGAATATACGACTATAGGTTAACCCCATCATAAGTTAATAGAGGGGAATGGTTAGGAAACCAATTGTTATAGGTCTTTGATCGCTTTTGATGTTGAACCGGTCTTGACCATGCACAATGTTTGATTTATGCTCATCCAAAATTGCGAAATAAGTAAACATAAACTTTTTGTATGGGATTGTTGTAAGGAATATTCAAATATCTCTTCCAAATCCTTAAATATTTTGAACTAGCAGTGAAAAGAAAGATTTTTGTCTGTTCACTCAGCCATTGCCAAAAATGGTAAAACAATGGTAATACAAAGGATTGTGAATGGCCACTCTTGAAAAAAGTGAACAAAGACCTATAACAATAGGTTTCATAACCATTCCCCTCTATTAACCCTACATTTAGCCTAAACTCAAGAGAACGAGAGCAATTCAAGCGAAACATGAGAACCCAGGCAGTACAAAGTCATCATTCGGCGCAGCAAAGATTTTCGGACCACGCGAATCATCGTGAGGCGGCGGAGTCCATTGCTAGGAGAATTGGGGATATTGATATTAGAAGAGAAGATGAAAATGCTTCAAACAGTTATCCACGAAGCCAATGGTTTCATCCTGTGAATAGTAATCATCAAAATGACGTCACTATTAGTAAAACCACGAACTTTTATTTAGAAAGTATGCAAGATGGTGATGTCCCATTGCATGGCCAAGAAAAACATTGGACATCGAAAAAGGATGATATTTCTGCTTCTAGGAATTGTAACGGATTTTCAAAAGACGAAGATAAATGCTTACGTAGTGATTACTCGACTTCAGGAACAATATATTCGCACCAAAATAATAGACATTTTGATATAGCCACGAATACGAATAATCATAGTTTGGGCGTGGCTAGGCCGGAAAAGATAGGAGATGAAAACAGCACAGGTATCCCCATCTTCAAAGGAGCAGGTCGAGCTAAACTAGCCGAAGAAGCAAGGAGAATGAATTTCGGTAAGTAAGTAGTTGGTATACAGTCAATTCAAAAAATGTTGTCGTCGACCAACTCAAGCCTACGCGACTGGACCGAAAGTAATTCTGGGTAGTAATCATTGAAGCCGAGTTGACTCCATAATCTTATCTGACTAGTTATGCCTGGTTTACAGCACGAACCTTCGTAGGCGAGCGGGAAGTGTTGAAGGAGACGTTTTTTTAATGCCTTCATATTTTCGAAATTGTGAACTGAATCATAACTACTTTGTTTTTCTTTCACTAAACTCAAAGACATGCATTCGTTTCTCGCCATTATTATCTTATTACTAGCGGGAACAATAGCGCAGCGCAACCGTGACGTCATAAAAACGAAGACAAAGGCGAAATTCGGACAAACAAACTTACAAGTTTACTTTCAGCAGACAATTTCCACAGCCGATCGCAGTTGATCTCAGTTTACATGGGTTATTATTGTAACTTTAAGTAAAAATAATAAAATCGGCTCGTATAATCCTCGTAGCGGTTAAACAGAATGCAATGTTTGTCCGAATCTTTAAGCTATTTTTAGAATCAGTGCGCTGCGCTATTAATTCACAACGAATATTTAGCCGCTTCAGTGATTTTTACCCACATTCCTTTTGGTCCGGTCGCGTAGGCTTGAGCCGGTCGACGACAACGTCTTTTGAATTGACTGTATTGGGTGATTCTGGGGTAACTCCGTGTTCATGTGAGATCGTGAATCTGGGTGTTGGTAAGTATTTGTTATATTGGGTGATTCTGGGGGTAACTCCGTGATCATGTGAGATTGTGATCTGGGCGTAAGCAGGTAGTTGGTATATATCTTATATACAATATACAATATTTTCCAGGTTTCCTGCTTCACGTACAACAGCTTTTACTCAAAAATAAAGAAATTAAAACTCATCGGTGGAAAGATTCATCAAATACCTTTTAGAAATAGCATATTTCGTTGTTATTAGAAAATATTTTGGTTTGACCAGAGATAATAGAAAATACTTGGAAATTTTCTCTGTGACAAACGATGCATTGTGCGCCTAGATTTTAAGTCATCTGGAGTGAGTTCAGTTTTTACGTCTTTTTAAAAAATGTTTCCCTGCTTCAATATAACATTTAAAAGCTTTTTTTTCCTGAGAAATACTGATTTTTTTAAAGGTTTGAGAAGAAGTGGTGCTCCAGTAGGCAGAGGAAGAGGAATCCTGAAATTATTTGGCTCCAACTACCAGGGATAGTCTCAACCATCCAGTCTACTCTTCTGCTGTGTTGGATTGGTATTTATACGCGAAGAATGCGTCATTAAGGGGCAGTACATTAATTGTTGAGGGGGATGGGGGAGGGGTTACTGGAATCCTGAAATTATTCAGTTCCATAACCCAGGGATAATTTCAACCATCCAGTCTACTCTTCTGCAGTATTGGAATGGTATTCGTACACGAAGAATGTTCGTTATGTTTCGGGGGGGGGGAAGGGGGATTGTGGACGACAAAATAAGAGGGCACCGTATTTCTACCATTCGTTTCGGGAAGGTTGAATTCGATATTCTAGTGGTTCCCTGCCATTTTACAATATCCTTTTTAAGATGTTAGGTTCTAGGACTCTCACCTTCAAATGCCGCACTTAAACACAAAGAGTTTTATCCCCACACTTGTCCCCTATGTGAATAATGAGTGATCCGTACCCATGGCAACGACATATTTATATGTATTTATAACAACTATTGCAGACATATATATGGAGAGGAATTAGTGGGAAAAATAATACGCTATTTCTGAAAAATTAATTGGATATAATATATTGATTCGAGTCTTTGAATCATTGCATGGATTATTCTCCTGCAGGGATTATTCTTAATATTCAGCAAACACGTTTTAGTTCTTACTTGGCTTGTAGTTCGTAGTTTTAAAATAAAAGCTTGTTTTCAAGAAGCCTTGGAAACATCCTGATGCTGGCGTCGTTTCACATTACGAACAAGGCCCTTTTTAAATCTCTCGGTAGAACTTATGGTTTTCACTTACATTGTGGCAAACTTTTCAGTTGCTCCCTGGTTGGACGAATACAAAACATTTCACTAAATTTATATGACAAGAAACTAGTATTTCTGCATTTTCGTTAGACCAGCCGCTTACTTTACACACGTGTTGCTGGATATATTATTTCTAATGGAATCTTTTCGAGGAAGATCACTCATCATCAACCTACATATATAGGTGTCATTCCATTGTTACTGAATGATGACTTTTATTGAATCCTTTAACGAAGAAAATTCACTCATCATCATTAACAGTCGACATGCATAAATGTTATTCCATTGACTCCTAGGGG